CGGTCCACGTGGCCCCTCTTTGCCTCCCTCCTCTATGCCCCTTTCGCACACTGTGGCACTGCACTTCCTGTTCCCCCCCCTTCCCAGCCCTTTCAGAGCACCACAAATCCACTGGTTCAGTCCCTGCTCTTTCCCCCTCTCTCCCAGAGTGGGAACAGCCGCGAACAGCTGATTTGCGGGGTGTGAATCAGCAGATTCATGGGAGGGTGGAAGGAAGGGAGGTAAGGGCAGGGCTCCAGTGCACAAAAGGTGAGAGGAGGGGGGCAGACAGGGTGTGCGGGCTGCAGGTGGAACCCCAGTGGGCCACATGTGGTCTGAGGCAGCAGGTTCCCCCCACTGATCTAGATGTTTGGCCCTGGTGCAGGGGACTGGACTTGATGACCTCTCGAGGTCCCTTCCAGTTCCAGGTGTCTACAGGCATTTAGAACGCTTGCTATCAGATCCCATAAGAGATTATGCCAGATAAAGGCCTGATTTGCCCAGTATTATGGTTGGGGCATTTCTTTTTTCACCTGAACAGTTATTCCCCTAACCTGGATGCCATTCAGCTGCTCTAAAGGTGGATTGCGGTGGCGATGTTATTCCCACTCCCTGTGGGAATGGGCAATGCCAGAACAAAACACCCATAAGCCAACAGAGCGGCTGTGGCAACTCTACTGCGATCCCATGCAGCATCCTGGGGGGTTACATTTATAATCGTTTCTGTAGGATTGTGTTCTGCTCCATGGAGGAGGACTTCCAGGTGCTCAGTACAACGGGGTAATTACTGTCAGCATCTTCACTAGGACCCTCAGGGTCCAGGGTCAGAGGAGGGACAAACCTGAGGCTTGGAATAGGAGAGAAGTTCATGGCCAGACTCCAGGCTGGGGTTGGTACCGAGGGACCAGGTCAGATTTCAGGCTCTGGGTCAGGAGGTAAAGTCAAAAGCCAGGCGTTCAAGACCAGGCACAGTCACGGCAGCTACAGACAAACCACATGACCTGGATGCTTCTGGGAATGCCTCCCAGGTTTAAATAGGTCCGGGAGCCAATCAGGAGCCATGGGGTTGCTGCCTGTCAAACCCCGGAGGCGGGACTTCCCATAGTTTGTATGCGCACTGGACCCCAGAATGTTGGGACCTGCCTTGTGGCGTGTACACAGCTTGAAGTAGCAGAGACGTTCATGGCCAGACTCCAGGCTGGGGTCGGTACCCAGAAGCCCCACTCCTTGGGGAGCCCAAACTGGATTTTCCAGTGGCAGCCACCGAGAAAGGTGTTTCGGTCTGAAGAGCTGGGCTTGAGCTGATGGAGGGATTCCCTTTTGATGCAGCAGACAGGCAAGAAGGGTTGGAAAGTCTTTGGCTTGCTAGGATCCCATAAGACTCATGCCAACCTGGGCTAAGGCTACAGCCTCTAGGACCGGGGTGGGGGACCTAAGGCCCCCCGCCGAGGCTCAAGGCTTCTCCCCAGATTGGGGAGCATATGCTGGGCTCCAGCCCTGCCTCCACAGGCCTGGAGCGCCCACAAAATCTACTAGCCTGGGCCCCTCTAAGCTCTGGTGTGTGAGGGGAATGTGGGGAGGGTCTTTCTCTTTCTCAGGTGAAGGCCACATCTTTGGCTTTTGTTTTCTTTTGTTTTGCTTCTTACTTGTGCGTGTGGCCTCTGAACCAAAAAAGTTTCCTAACTCGTCTAGGAATTTGTCTTGTTTGGTGCTTATCCTCTCTGTGCCTTTTGTTTTTGTTTTTTGTCCTTACAATAAGTGTACTCTGCTGGGAAACTGCTGTGGGGTCCCTGCTAAAAGCACAGGCATTGTCTTCCAAGGCTACGTCTACACTGCCAGTTTTTGCGGCACAAAATATGTGAATGAGGGACTCATTTCCATGAATTGCAATTTCATTTGCGTATTTTCTGCTGATCCATTTTTGCGCTAGGGCTTTTTGCACAAAAACAAGCAGTGTGGTTGTTTCCTTTTTGCGCAAAAACCTCTTTTTCCGCAAGATCCTTATGCCTCAAAAAAGGAGGTATACCAATCTTGCGGAAAAAGGGGTTTTTGCACAAAAAGGGAAAACACTTTGTTTTTGTGCAAAAACGCTTAGCGCAAAAATGGATCGGCAGAAATTATGCAAATGAGATCATGACTCATGCAAATGAGTCCCTCATTAGTATATTTTCTGCCGCAAAAACTGGCAGTGTAGACATAGCCCAAAGGAACAATGTTTTGGTATGGACAAGCCCTCAGACTTTACTCCTAGGCTGTGTCTACACTGGCAAGTTTTTCTGGAAAATCAGCCGCTTTTCCGGAAAAACTTGCCAGCTGTCTACACTGGCCGCTTGAATTTCCGAAAAAGCACTGACGATTTCATGTAAAATCATCAGTGCTTTTCCAGAAAAACTATGCTGCTCCCGTTCGGGCAAAAGTCTTTTTCCGGAAAACTGTTCCGGAAAAGGGCCAGTGTAGACAGCACAGTAGTGTTTTCCGATATTCCACGCTTAGCCTCATTTGCATATTGCTCGCACAAGAAGCCACGAGTGTAGACATAGCCTAAAAGTGCAGAGCGTGGTAACCAAAATGATTAGCATCTGAACAACATCTGCATGAGGAGACATTGAAAAGCCTGGGATTTTTCAGCTTGGGAAAAGAGATGACGCGAGGGAAATATGGTAGAGGTCTATAAAACCTTGACTGGTGGGACAAAAGTGAAGAGGGAAGTGGTATTTACTCCTTCCCATGACACAAGAACCGGGAGTCACCCAATAAAATGTAATAGGCAGCAGGTTTAAAACAAACAAAGGGAAGTACTTCTTCACACAGTCGACCTGTGGAACTCATTGCCGCAGGTTGTGAAGGGCAAAACAATACAAGTTCAAAAAAGAAATAGATACAGCAATGGATATTGGTGTCGATGGTCAGGGATGCAACACTAGGATCAGAGCATCCCCAGCTGTTGAATGCCAAATGCTGGGAGTAGATGCCAGGGGCTGGAAATGTTGATGGTTGCCTGTTCTCTTCATTCCCTCGGAAGCAACTGGCCTTAGCCTCTGTCAGAAGACAGGGTCCTGGACTAGATGGAATATTGGTCTGTGGTTGTTTTTATGTTCTAATATTACATGTGCACAAATAGATGCTTTATCAGTAGTAGCAAGTAGTAGCAATCTTTACCAGTCAGCCTACCACACTAGCTGGTTGCAAAAGATACTGCGATAAATATTTATGTTCACAATCACACCTCAGGGCACCCATGAACATTGGGGCCTGTTGTGCTGTGCACAATATAAGCACATAGGGTACATCTACACTGCGGAGCTATTTCACGATACCCGAAGTATCCTGAAATAGCTATTCTGTGTCTATTGAAGCAGCCAGTTATTTTGAAATAGATTTCGAAATAACAGGCGGTTTATTCCAACATCCCAGTTACCCTCATTCCGCGAGGGTTAAGGGGAATTTTGGAATAGCGAGCTATTTCAAAATTTGGCACTGTGTAGACAGCACCAAATTGCAAAATAAGCTATTTTGAAATAGCATCAAAATAAGCTATGCAATTTGCATAGTGCGAATTGTGTAGCTTACTTTGAGCTAAGGGTGCTGTGTAGATGCACCCATACTGAGCTCTTCAGAGTAAGCATTCTCTCTATCTCAATAGACATGACCAGGTAAGATTGGGAGAGGAAATAGAGGCACAAGAATGTAACGTGCCCCAAAGCCCGCGTAGTCGGGAAAGCGATTCCAAACATTTTTGAAAAAAGATTAGACACTGACAAAATGTTCAGTTTCGACAACTTCTCAATGCAAAGGTTCCATTTTGTTTCCAAACAATTTCTCAGTGAGAAATGTTGAGTCATAGTTAAAAAAAATTAAAAGCTAAAAAAGATCTAAATTGAAACCAAATGTTTTAATTTACTTGATCCATTTTTTTTTTTCAGATTATTTTCGTTTAAGGACATTTGAGCTTCTTGACCTTTCCTACCTATTTGTAGGAATTTTTTTTAAGGTTCCAAACCTACCATGGAACGGGAAGATCACCTTCAGCCCAGCATTAGGATCATCTATATGCCCACAAAAACAACACAGCAGAATTATTGCGTGTGCACACAGCTTGTATCCAGAATGAAAGGGGTAGGCCTTCACCCTCCTTAACATTTTTGACTCATCTTATGTGGAACAGACAAGAGGTACATTTTTAAGGTTTTCACAGAGAAGGATCACTTTGAAAAGCTACTAGCCCCTAGGTGAAACAGGGGTATCTGTTTAAGACACCTCAGTGACAGGACAGAGTTTTTAGAGCAGGAAGTGAACAAGGCTGAAATCCAATGGCAACATGTAAATTGTAGAATTTTATCCACCCCCCCCCATGTTAACAAAGATAAGACTTTTATTCCAAATTCCTTAGTGTAGACAAGGCCTAAAGATACTGTTTATATTTTGGTTCCTTCCCCAGACCTGAAGAGCTGTGTGTAACTCAAAAGCATGTACTTTAAACCAACAGATCTAATAAAAGATATTACCTCACTCATGTTGTCTCTGGCTTAGTACTCTAGCTCCCACTTCATTACCAGCATGTTTAAACTAATCTGCATTAATCTGTGGTAACAAAACCATGTATACACTCAGCAGTGCTGTCTGACAACCCCTTTACATTTCTCCATATATAAAAAAATATCCCTGGTGCCTGATACATATCTAATGCAACAAGGCAGGCAAGCATTTGCACACAGTGTTATGGGAATCCCTGCATTGACAGCCAAAGCCAAACCATGCAGCACCCTCCTGGTCTCACATGTATAGGCCTTAGAGCAGGTCCTCCCACTCTTCCCCCCCAAGAGAGCTCATAACACTTAATTGCTTTTTTTTTTTTTTGGTCTGTAGAAGCCGCTTGCTTATTGGGATTGCCATTAATTTGACAGGCAGATCCCAGACAGGGGATTGGCTAGCAGCAGATGACGCCCATAACAACAAAGGTGGAGTTGGAAAAATTAGATTAAAAAAAATTGAGGGGGGGGGAGGAAATGGAAAAACTCTCCCTTCACCCAGCCCCCTCCGGCTTTGAAATATCCAAGAGTGTCAATTTCACGGTATCGTTAACAAATCCAGCGGTTCACGCAGTCCGGGAGGAAAGTGTGAATTTCACTCTCGACCTGTTTGTGCATTTCCTGGTGCAAGAGACACACAACAAAACTCCCCATTTTTTTCCCCGTCTCCTTCTTCCCCGAGAGCCTGTTTACAAGGCAGCCACTTGCAGTGTAGTTCAGGTTCCTTCTTTTGCGTTGGTGCAAATGTCTGTCCCCGCTCTCGGAACTTGACAAAGAAAATCTGAATTTTATTTTTGTGCATAGGTGGAACTTTAAAAAAAAACTTATTTTTTTTCGTGCTATTCGAGGTGGGTTGTAGGAAATCGACCATGTGAATTTTTGGTGCAAACGTCAGAAGAGGATTGTTGCAAATGTAAGCTTTTTTTTTTTCCTCCTTCTTTTTCCCTGTCTCTCCCTTCTCCCTCCTCCTCCTCCTCTTCTCTTCTTTTGGCTACAGTGTTGCAAAAGCAAAGAGCAATAAACACGCACAGAGAGAGAGCGAGAGAGTCAGAGAGAGACAGACACACAATCCCGTAAGAGCCAGAAGAGAGTGAAAAGAGAAGAGACCGATTTCTCTGACAATTCCGTTTAGGGAGCAGATGGAAAAGTGGAGACTTGTGAAGGGCTGTGAGGTTGGCTAAGGATCCAGGAGCGAAAAGAGCCCGGCTGATTGGAAGAAAAAAGCAGAGAGATGGAGGCGGGGGAAGTGCAATCTCTCTGCGGGGACTGGAGCGAGTCCACGCCCGGGGCCAGCGCTGCAGAGCTGGCTAGCATTCAACCAGCGCTCCCCAGCTAAAGCACCCAAAAAAAGCAGTCCCCAAGCGCCTTCTCCAGCCTGGCTGGTTTGCAGGTAGGTGCATTTCGAAAAAAAGACCCAAGACCTCCAGCAGTAAACGCGCCCGATGCAGCCCCCTGTTGCAAGGGGGGGGGGGTGGGAGAAGG